CTAGGTCTGAAGTGGCAGCCTTCAAGTGGGAAGGCCTGCCCACTGAATAGAATCCATGAAAACAGACTTCCACATGCTACAGAGATTTTAGGCTATTACAAAGACTGCAGATGAATTAACCACAGTTGCTTCCATCCTGATTCTATCTTGCCATTTCCCATCAGGGAAATCCCACCAGAGTTCCTATCACAGTTTTTTTGCATAAATTTGTGCACTTGGAGTCCAGGAATTCTTGTTCTTGCTCAGGACCCTGCCTTAGTCAAGGGGGCAGGCAGAGCCCTGAGGTGAGTCACAATTCCCAAGACTGGCAGTTATGTCCCCTTTGCCTAGAGTGGGAGCTGTGCACGCTGAAGTGACAGGTGAGGACACTGTGGACCAGCCTCATTTGGCATCCACCTGAAGAGTCTGTCTTGACAACCTTCAGCTACTCGAGAAAATTCAAACACTCTGCCAGTGTGTGTTTGTAGGTGATCATAAAAACTCCCCAAGACAAACCTTATTAGATACAAAGAAAAGTAGGGGCACTTGGTGAGAAAAGGGTGTGCCCTACCTTACATGGATGGCACAGTTTGCAGGGAAGTCCTGTGTGCTGAGCTTTGAAGCTCTCCTCTGTGAGTTTTGTGGATTGTTTTTACTCACAGAAAAAAAACCCCAAATCTGTGAAATAGTAGGAAACGGAGTTAGTCAAAGAGGAGAAGGAACTTTGTAGGCTGACTGCTCCCAGGCATCAGGCTTTTGCATTGCTGAATCAAGGTAAAAAAAAAAAAAAAAAAAAAAAAAAGGAGGCAGCAAACAAAATAGGACAAGTTTGAGTTTGGGACAAAGCAAGTATTAAAAGCCCTAAAAGCAAATGTGCTCCAGGAAGGGAAAGCGTCCAAATGTCTGTTTCAGCTAACAATGAAAAGCCCCAGCCTGCAGTCCCCAAAGGAAGCCAAAAGCCTGGACCAGAGGGCTGGATTAGACCTGCTCAAAAGAGAAATAACAAAAGCTTTAAAATCAGGCCATTACTAAATCCTCCTTCCTATGCAGAATTGGGGTGTGCACTTCCAGCCCCCACACAGAAACAGAGGGATTTCTTAAAAAGCCACTGTCTGTCTAAACCTGCATGCAGCATTGATGTGTATCTCACATTCACACATTCACTACTCTCCCAGTGAGATCATTTATTATCACAGGAGCACTTTCCCGTAATCGTGTGGACACGTGACCAGAATTGCACTTGGCACATTGATGCATTAAAACAATTTGGGATTTTTTCCCTCCTTTTCTGTAAGTGTAGTCTTGCAATAGCAAAATTTGTGCTACAGCACCCCCCTTGCAGCAAGGGGAATATGAAAAGGAAGACCTAGCCCATGTGCTCATCTAATAGCTCTACAGCTTCTCCCAAAGAAGCTGTCTTGCTATGGTCCTTTGCCACATTCCAAACTAGGGACTGTGTTTGGTCTCTCTGAACTCCCCTTGCATGTGAAATTAGAGACAGGAAAGTCTCTCCCACTTCCTGTCCCAATGCTGTTATGTAAGGGATTCCACTAATGCACTAGCATAGCATTACAGGTCAGAAGGGACGAGTTTAATGCACACATAGGAAAACAAGTGGCTGGATCTTGCTATGCGCCGTCACCCAGACCCCTCCTGCTGGTGCTTCTAGGTGTTTTAACTGTCATAAAGTCCTCAAAGCAAAGCATTTTGAAAGTGCCTTGATTTCAGAGGCAGAAAGCTCCACATGTGATTAATTTTTCAGTTTGTGCTATTAGGGAGAACTGAGGAAGAAAAGTGCTAAATGGGCTGCTGTTCTGCAGTCTGTAGCTGCCTGGCATAGCAGGCTTTCTTTGTAGCTCTCAGGAATGTGCCAAATGCCTTCAAACAAATGTCTCTGTCCAAAGTTCTTAATATCTCATATTTGCACGATGCAAATAAAAGGTAACAAAGCTTTTTGTGGAGAGGATGAGTGATTGAGGTTACATTAAGACCATGGGATTACTCAACAGAGGCGTGCAAACATCGCTGGACAAAGTTTATCAGTCTGTTCCAAATTCTAATTTGTTGGAGCATTGTTTGTGCAGATTATGCTAAGGTTTTACTTTGGATCTTCATTGTCTGAAAAGACTCCTCTTTCTCTAAGGACCTCTATTCACCTCTCTACTGGTAGCAAAAGATTTAAAGCCTAACAAAACTCCAGGCCACCCAGCCACAGGGTAAGATTTCCAGTAACTGATTCTGGATCTGAAATCCCCTGCCTGTTTGCAAAGCCAAGTCTAAAACTTCAAATGGTAAAAAGCAGAGGATATTTGCCAGACACTGCTCTTCACAGAGATTTGTAGTTGTGATGACAATTCCATTTTAATACCTCTTACACTGTGGGTGCTGACTTCCTGCACTAGCAAGCTCTTATAGCATTGTACAGAGAACACTAGAGCAAATATGGACATATAAAAATACAAGACTAGGCCAGAAACCCATTGCATGCAGAAGTAACAGCTAATTATCCCCCCAAAGTAAATGTATTCATTTTTAGAAGCTTTCTCACAGAATTTAGCCTTTGTAATTAGTTTACCTTATTGAGACCAGCTGTTGAAATAACACTTCCCCTAGAGGCTGGACGCATTCAGTCTTGGACTTAGTTGCAATGAAGGGATTTGGCACTCCTGTTTAGCTGCAGGTGGACAACTTGCCAGCAGCCTGGAGACTACACCTGATTTGTTTTGTGAAAATGGAAGCAAGCAGGTGCCAGTGGGTTCAGTGGAGAGATGAGCTTAGAAATTCCAAAACAAACAAAAATTCCTTTCCTGTGGTCCCTTCTGAATTGAGGGAGCTCTGCTCATGGTATTCCTTTTATAAAGATGCATGTTAGGGAGGCAAAGGCTATAGTGCCTTGTTTCTGCTTCAGCTGGAACATTTTCTCAGTGATCAGTCTCAAACTGAAATGTGTTTGTGTTGTTTTGACAGGTACCTGACCCGCTGGCCCGTCAGATCTGCAAAGCCCATTTGGAAGAGGGGCCCTAAGTGGTGCAAAAAGCCCTATCCAGTTGGACACCCTTTGCTGAAGGATAATATCAAATATACACAAAAGCCTCTCTGTTTAAACCACTAGTGGCCAGAACTAGCATAGTCAGTAAGCACATGTTGTCCACTGTTCTGCTGGGGTTTTTCTCAAGTTTGTCAATATCTCCAATTTTCTTATTCCAAAATTGTTTTTAGTACTCTATATTGTGTCCAGCTGTAATCTTTTCCTCTGGGAGAATACAAGAGCCATCAAAGCAAAGTTCAGTGTGCAGGATGATTTGATAAAAGCAGGGGTCAAAGACTTCTACCTCAAAGCCAGAAAGGATCTGTAGGCTTTTGTTTCTTTATGTTCCACAAATAGGTTTGTAAAAAAGGATGTTTCCTTCTCTTCCCAGCAGTGACTGGTGTTTCCCCATTAAGGTGTGTTTCAAGTCAGATTTGCCTCATTTGGGCTTTTGTACTTGTGACACAGATGGAAGAAAAATTTCTCTGCAGCACTGTATTTTCTCAGCAGTAACAGAAATTGTTACTGACTACTGAAATTAATTTTTTTTTATTATTATCATCTGTTCTATCCATAATTTTCAGCAGAACACCTGTAGCAGTGGCAAAGAGGTGTGTATTTTACTTGTCCCCTTAAGAATTCCTGGCTTGTTCTTCACTCCTGAATCTGGCAAATACACAGTGTTGACATCCTTGATGACCGCCTGGTTTTTTTTTTTTCCCCTGGCAAATAAATTTTTCATAAATCTTCCATGTCAGTGATATGGTTGCTTCCTGGGATAGTTTGGAACTGATTATCCATCTTGTAACTAAAAGGTGGCACCATTTCTCTCCCTTTGTAGTACACATACAGATCTTCCACCTATTCACCATTGCTAATTATGGGCCTGGTATGAAAGGCTCATTAAATTTATCATGGTCATTATTGCTTTGGCTCCATTTCTTTGGTATTTATCTGGGGGCTACAAATCAATACAAAATTTTTATGTACTACTATGCCAATTAAGCTTGTATTGCTTTTATTGGAATCATCTGCTAATACCATCAGCATGGACAGGAACAAAAGGTAAGGATAAACCTGTATTATCCAGGAAATCAAATTAGATTTAAATGGTTCTTTTTAGCCTTATTTTGTGAAATAAAAGCCCTAGATTCAGCCCCTTGAGCTGGCCAAGACCTTTTGCTTTGGGAGACAGAGCCAAGACTTCATTAACCATACTGAGATAAAATCTCTGGCTGACTGGATCTGTTTTATAAAGCTTTGAAAGCTACAGCCCTTCAGAAAGGAAAATATTTTTCTTTATTCTTATACACACAGAAGTTACTCTTGTCTTCTAGCCCAGGTAGCTCTACTCAGTGAGCTTTGCTAAAAGTCACTGGATTAAACCACTGTCTTGAGATGAACCTGAAAAACCACATTTTTCAAGACCAGGTGATACCTACAGCTGTTCTTTTCCTACAGTTTAGTGACATGAGCTGGAAAGACCCCTCTAATTCTGGTGAAATCTTAACATCTGAAAAGCAAAATACTGTCTTCAGTATGCCTTTCTAGAGTTCAGGGTTTAATACAGATCTCTTACAGTATACATCAGCATTCTGCCCTGACTCCCTCTGCTTTTGTCATTCATAGATGACAGCAGGTATTCATTCATGTTTCCAAATTAGTTCTTGTGTAAGCAAGGTGCTTTTGTAATCAGACAGATGGCCTAGGTTTGATTTCTGACCTAGAACTTGCCTGTCAGGGAAGAAAATGTCACTTGTCACTATAAAATCTGCAGTGACACATTACAGGGAGAGCTTGGGGCTAATAACGCCAAGGTTGTGTTCAGTCCCCATATGGGCCATTCACTTAAGAGCTGGACTCGACAAGCCTTGTGGGTCCCTTCCAACTCAAAATATTCTGTGATTCTCTGAATTCCATCTGGAGTTCAGGGAGGATTGCATACAGTGAAGTCCTAGGAAAAGAATCAGGGCCAGGCACAGAAGAATTCTGCTCAAAGTGCAGAGGTTTCACATTTTTATTAGAACAAGCAGTAAACAAAATTTCCTAAGTATAAAATGTAGATATTTTCTAGTTCTTGAGTCCTCCCAGACAGAAGAGTCACAGCATGAAGGGCAGATCGAGATTCTTCTCACCAGTGCCAAAGTAAACGTAGCCGAATTGCTTGGTCATTGGGACATGGTAGAATGTGAGTCCCAGCCACAGCAGGCTTCGCAGCACCACCACACTGCCCCCCTTCTCCAGCTGGATACTCCAGGAGCCTGTGTGAGAAGATGTGCAAATGAATCACTGGAAAAGAGAAAGAGGCAGCACTCCTGCAGCAAGTTAACCTAAGCTGAGAGAAGGGCTGCCATCGGTTCTGCCTGACCTGTTAACAGTGCACAAAGCTGCACTGGGGTTTGTAACACCTGAAAGGAGGGAAGTCAGGGAGAACTTAAACCTCGATGCTCTGTTTCCCTTTTGTCAGTTCAGCCCTGCAGGCTGCCCTCGTTTCCAGATGTCTGTCTGGGTTCACATCGTAGCATATTCCCATGGCTATGGTGGTGATGTCGTACGCGACGCAGGAAGGGACCCTCAAGCTCCAGACTGGTACAGCTGATCCCCAGGAGAGGCTGCAGCTATTCTTGGCTCTATCTGAGTGGGCAGCAGTTACTCCAACAAGCTCTGCCACCTACTTGGTGTAGCTAATAGCTGTAGAGAGCCAAGATGAGCTATAGCAATCCTGCATAGGAATTAAATTTGTCCTTAAAATAAACTTCTAGCATTAGTAGTGGGAAGAGAAAGAAGGTGCTTTCCTCCTTCAGGGAAGACTGGTTTCTCTGATACAGCAACTGGAAAAAAAATGAGAGAATGAAAAGTAGGGTATTTCCTATCTGAGAAATATATGGAAAAGGTTAATTCTCTTCAGTCTGTCTTGGCTCCACCGTTGAAGAGGATGTGCGTGGTAGGGGCAAAGGGATTAGTTTCCACATTAATTTTGTTTTGGCTCCACAGAAGAGGTTCAGAGCCAGTGTGAAAATGCAGTTTCTTCTGGATACAAGGAGCTCAGAGCCTCTGAGTATTTATTTTGCATCTGACATGACAGCTTGGGAATTGTGCCAGAGGGAGGGGGCTGAAGAATCAGCTTGGATTCAGTGCTGGAGGGCAAGGAGCTGCCAGGAGAAGAAAATACCAACTTCAGCACCAAATCAGTAATACCTAGAGGCTACAAAGTAGGGAAGAAAGGTGCTTCTGAATCTCCATCTAAAAAAAACAGGAGCAGGCCCAAATTAAAAAAATGTAGTTGGAACTGTCAGGCTACCATTGGCCTAAAGTCAAGCAATCAGCCTATCTGTACCCAAAGCCAAAATCTGCCAATTCCAGAATAAGCAGAAAGCACATAATGTGTTGGGCTATTTAGGCAGTATTCATCTTTGTAGATAATTTTAGGCTCATTAATTTTAGCCTCATCAATTTATGCTATGATTCATGCTTACTCATGTCACGGTTAGCCTGGGGAAGGGCTTCTGTGATTGCTGTCAGCTGCGTGTCCTCCCGCTCCCACTCACTCGTGACTCTGGGCCAATTTTAGTCACATCCAGCAAAGGGCTGAAGGGCTTTAACACCCCAGGTTCCTACAGCAGGTCTCCTTGGGATGTGGCCCAAGGGCTGACTGCAGCTCCTGGAGCTTTGCTCTGCCAGCAGCTGCAAGGAAGCACAGGCTGTCAGGCCTGCCTGGCAGCCGCGAGGCAGCCGCTAGCTGGGCAATCCGCGTTCGTGCAGCCTTGGGCTCTTGTGTGCTCCCTGGCAGTAGATGTTGTCTCACGTGCAGTTCATGGCAAACTACAGTAGTTGAGGGGAAATGTTAATGTGGTGGCTACAGAATCAGAAAGGAACAGTACAGTTCAGAACCCTGTAAAACCAGGTATTGAATTGTGCTGCTCACCTGTTACCTAACTCTTCACTTCCTATCTCTGTACTTCTCAAAAGTTTCTTGGACACCACTGTTTCCTCTGCTTCCTCCTTCAGTAAATTCCACATTTGTTAAACTATAATATGCAAGTCCTGTGTCATCTCTGATGTGCTGCCTTTCAAAGTACACTCTTCAGTCATGTGCATATGTGGAACTCAGTGAACAGCAAGAATGCCTACCTCTTTCCTGACAGACTGGACAGAAGTACAAAACAGACATTCACAGTCAGGAGATTTCTGCTTTGGAGAACTTACTTCTAACTCACTCTCTTCCACATTTCCACTAAAGACAAACAACTGGGGTTGCAGTAAAACAGAGGACTACTTAATATCAGACAGTCAATACAGGTGTGTGCCATCTTTCCACCTTCCACTTGTGATATTCTTTACACAAGTCCTAGATACAACATGAGCTAGTATCTTCACAAGCAGTGGTTTCACGTACAAGGCAACCCCAATCTCCAATCCAGTCTCTCCAGTGCCACTCTTATGGATACAAACTGGCCTGGATTTTTTTCACACCTGGAGTAAAAATGCCTGTTATGGTTCAGCCACTGGGATTACAAATCCTGACTGAGGGGATCAGTGTGTTCTTAAGAAATTCCATCACTTGGGTAGCATGGAAACCCAGATGAGGAACACTTATGCAACAAGGCAGATCATCCAGTGACTGAAGCACTGCAGCCATTCGCTGTCAAAGGACAAGCTTTCAGTTTCTTCATCTTTGTCTCTAAAAGTTTCCAGCATTTGCTACTGACAGTAGCATGACCATGTGTAGGAGTGTTGATCAACAAGTAGCAGGCAACTAGGTCTGAATGTAATAGTGACAAGTAACTCTCAATTTCTCCTCTGAATGATTGCTCCCAGCACATGGTTCTTCAGCTTGAATTTGTATAAATGACCTACAAGTCTTTCTTCCAAATACTGCTGGTACTTGCTGCAGCTTTACACACTGGTTTTTGGGGAAGGGGATGATGACACACTGTAAACTTTTCATAAAGTTTCTCTGACAAAAAGATAAGTCAATAAGGAACTCTAAATGTCTGTGATTTAGGACCAGTCCTCTGAGAAGCACATCTGTCAAGAACAGGACTATGCCTTGCCTTGCTGGGTGGTGAAAACCTTTAGGGATTATCTAATTTGTTAATGCCTCTCAACATACTGGAAGCATCTAACAACCTGGGTACATGTGATAGCTTGTTTATATATGTTAACCTACACAGATGAACCCTCTGCCCCAAACCATTTTTACAGAACAAAAGGAAATGCCTGGAGCATGACAACTGGGAAAGGTAAGAGGGAAAACAGGGTTTTCAGTGCTCTTAGGAACTGTATCTGGATTTAGACATCTTTTTGTTGGATAAATTCACAGAGGAGGTAGAGTAAATCAAGTTCAACATAATTAAATGCCCATATCTGTGCTCTGGGGCAATAGAGTACATGGATCCATGATCTCAGAACTTTTACCCTGTAACACACAGCCTTATCAATCTCAGCAGAGTATTCATCAGCAGTTAACTCTGCCGATCAAAGGAACTTCCCATGCACCTTCACACCTGGCAGAAATGTACAGATAAAATTGAAGATGGCTCCATTCACTTTCACCTACATCTCTGAAGGCTGTGATGTACAGTTTCTACATTTCCCTATCATCTGTCCAAGCTGCCAATTCTCAAAGAGCTTGAATTTGTCATTTCATAAATGTGAGACCTTTGGGGAATATTAATTATTATTGTTATACTTTCCAGCTCTTCTCTGGCCCTTCATTCTGCATGTAGTTCTACACAAATATGAACAGTAAAGTTTTGCTGAAGCTGCATAAGCCTTCCTGTGAAGTGAGGGCCTGAACAAAAACAGGCAGGTTACATAAGGGCAATCCCATCTGGACCAGCACAACACAGGTTGAGAACAGGAAAAATTGACAACAAACTGTCTGAAACTGTAATGTCATTTTCACTGGCATCCTGTTTTCAGCCAGAATGATGATTAATCCTAGAGCTGCTCTTTATTCTGCAGAGCCAAAGGGTAGCAGCAGTGCCATCTTCCACCTTCTACTAACTGGATCACTAGAGACATTTTTCTATTCTAATCATCAAAGGTGTTGTTTTCAATATACTTTTCCAGACTGGACTTGTGTGATACACAAAACCCATTCCGAAACGGCATTTGATACACAATGCTGGTGTATCTTCTAAGAAGAGATTACATTAAAGTTCTGGAACCTCTTTGGGTTCTTTAGTCTTTTTCATAAAAGGAAAAAAATTAGAACCTGTTATCTCATTACTTTTTTTCCCCCCACACCTCACCACATCAGCTCTATTTGAGGAGGTGCTGCATAAAACAAAATTTGAACTCGTGAGACATGGAGAAAGTTGTTCTCTCAGAAAGATGCAGGACACTTGTGTTGTCTTCTGTCACAGCTCAAACCTCACAATACTACAATACTCAAACAATATGCTGTTTGAGCATATTGGGAGGGCCTACCTTTTTTTGGGAGGGCCCACCTTTCTTGTTGGAGTTTGAAATATCAATGTTGTAAATCATTCTAGAAAGTAACTATTGAACAGTATGCAATAATAGCTTAAAATAAATATACTACCTTTTCTTCCTTAAGAGAAAGTCTTAGAAATGCATTTAATGATACAATATAAAAAGGAATGAGAACTATGAAAATTAAATGCTACTTTCATCCTCTTTTTTTCTTTTTCTCTCTTGTTCTTTAAACTTCTGTGCTATTACAGATGGTTGTTGGGGTAAAACCATCACACAGATAGCTTCAGGTCTGTATTACTATAAAAATGTAGAATTAGGCTGCTGAGTCCAAATCCTTTCCATCGCTGGCTGAGAATATTCCATGGCAATCCCTGTGTCAGACAATATGTCTCCTACTGAGAGATGGGAAGCTCAAACCATCAGTCTGTAAGGTACACCAGAGATTCCTAGATATAAGTTGTCAAGAAAAAAAGATTTTAAAATATTATTTTCATTGGAGAAAATACAACTAAAACTAGGAGACAGCAAGCTAAGGTTGGATTTCCTAGACTTAAGTACCGATTTTAACTTGCATCTCCATGTGTGCTGTCTCTAAATCAGGCAGCAGAGTTAACTGCACACATCATGTAAAGCTCACTGAGGTGCAGGGAACTGCTCATTGCTCTCACACAAGAGATTCCTACCAGTAACACTGCTCTGGTGAGGTTCCCAAAGTTCAAAATACGTTTCTTAAAAGAGCAAGTTAATATTTAGGCTGCACCCAGCAAACTTTAGAAAACCAAGCAGACTTTCTGTGCTGAAAGTATTGCCTGTTGCT